GAGGGAAGGGGAAAAAATCTCAAGAAGACTCAGAGCTCAAGGTGGGACTCAGTCTCATGACCCTGAGATCACAACCTGATCAAAACCAAGAGTAGGATGCTTACCCAGGCACCCCACAGGAGAGAAAGAATCTTAAGCAGGCTCCATGCTCACTGTGGAGCCCATCGCAGGGCTGGATCTCACGACCCTGAGATCATGACCTGAGCCAAAATCAAGAGCCAAAACTGAACCGATTGAACCACTCAGGCACCCCTTCGTGTTAATACTTCTTATAGTACCCTTAGTCAACCCTCCTTTCTTTCCATTTGCTTATTTATTCACAAAAGTTGTATAAGTTTAAGGTATATGACATGATAATTTGATATACATATTGAAATGATTACTACAGTTAAGCTAATAAATATATTATCTCCTCACATATTTACCATTTTTTAAAAAAAAAGTTGCATTTATTTATGTAATCTCTACACCCCTCCATGGGGCTTGAACTCCCGACCCTGAGATCCAGAATCACACACTCCTCTAACTGAGCCAGCTAGGCTCCCCCATAGTTACCATTTTTTGTGTATGTGATGAGTACACCCGTAATTTACTTTCTTGGCATATTTCCGTTGTTCAATGTAGTATTATTAAGTATGGTCTTCATGCCTATATGTTAGATCTCTAAAGATTTTATTTTTAAGTAATCTCTACCCCCAGCGTGGGTGTAGATCTCACAACCTGAGATCAAGAGTCACACACTCCAGGGCGCCTGGGTGGCTCAGTAGGTTAAAGCTCAGGTCATGATCCCAGGGTCCTGGAATCGAGCCCCGCATCGGGCTCTCTGCTCGGCAGGGAGCCTGCTTCCCCCCACCCCCACCTGCCTCTCTGCCTACTTGTGATCTCTGTCGAATAAATAAATAAAATTAAAAAAAAAAACAGTCGCACGCTCCACTGACTGAGCCAGCCAGGTGCCCATAGATCTCTAGACTTTATTCATCTACATAACTGACTTTGTATTGTTTGACCAACATGTCCTCATTTCCCCCATCCCCCTGCTAACATTCCTCTCTGCTTCTATGAGTCCGACCTTTTTAAAAAAGATTTCACATACAAGTGAAGTCATACAGTATTTGACTTTCTCTGATTCATTTCCTTTAAGAAAAAAAAGATTTTATTTATTTATTTGTCAGAGAGCGAGAGAGGGTGAGAGAGCGAGCATAAGCAGGGGGAGCAACAGGCAGAGGTAGAGGCAGAAGCAGACTCCCTGATGAGCAGGAGCTCAATGCAGGGCTCGATCCCAGGACCTTGAAATCCTGACCTGCGCTGAAGGCGGACGCTTAACAACTGAGCCACCCAGGCACCCCTGTCTGATTCATTTCACTTAGCATCATGTCCTCCAGTTTCATCTAATTTGTTGCAAATGGTGGGATTTCCTTCTTTGTCATGACTCAATCAATCTGGTTGTATATATAAACCACGTGTTTATCCCTTCATCCACGGATGGACCATATCTTGGTTATTGTGAATAATGCCGCAGTGATCATGGGAACACAGATATCTCTTTAGGATAGTGATTTCACTTCCTTCAGATACATACCCAGAAGGGGGACTGCCGGATCATATAGTTCTATTTTTAATTTTTTGAACAACCTCCATTCTGTTTTCCGTAACGGCTGTACCTGTTTACCTTTTAAGATTTTATTTTTAAGTAATCTCTACACCCACTATGGGCCTCAAACTTACAACCCCTAGATCAAGGGTCACACGCTCCACTAACTGAGCCAACCAGATGGCCCTACCTTTTTTTCCTTATTAATCTTTGATAACATCTAATTTGTATCTCAGCTTTGCCTATATAGAAGTCAATGATCTTACTCATCTTTTCTCTTTTTCTTTCTATTCTTCCATTTTTCTTTGTTCTTCTACTTTGTCAGGACAACTTCAAGTTTATACGTTGTCTTATGACCCATGACCCCAGCTTTGTTTTAGTCTTAGCTTTACAATTAGTACATGGAATGCTCACTGTTAGGCTTTTGCCAGAATTTTCCCATTCATTGGTTTTGGATGGATGGTACAGGGCTGGCCAATAGCATTTCCTGCAGCGATGAGCATGTTCTGGGTCTCTGCTGTCCAGGACTGTAACTAGCCACATGCGGTTACTGAACACTGGAAATATGCCTGATGTGACCGAGAGACTGAATTTCCTATGTTACTCCATTTTAATTCATCAAAACTTAAATTTTATAACCACATGTGTCTAGTGGCTACCGAATTAGACAGTGCAGCTCTATGAAATTCCTGAGGAAGGGCACCAGTGTTTTGGCCCACTCAGCTGTTCTTCTGATAGCCTCGATACTTGAAGAGTATCAAGTATAAAGCATCGAATTGCCTTTGTTGGTACTTTTCCCCCTTCACTTTCTTGAAAGTGCTACATTACTACTGCTTTGTGTCTTGCGAAATTGATGCCAGTTTAATTCTCTTGTCTTGGGAGTTATTTCATCTTTTTGCCAGGAGGCCCTGAGGGAATAGTTTCCTTGTCTCTAAATTCTAATTGTTTTATTAAAATATATCTCGGAGTTGGTTGTTCCAGGTCAACTTTCCTTGGGACCCAACGGGCCTTGGAATGTGTTGAGGTTTTTTTTTATGATGCCGGGTGTGTTCTAGCTTGGTGAATATTCCATGTGTACTTGAAGAAACATAATTAATTTCTATGTTTTTGAGTGGAATGCTCTGCAAAGTCGGTTGGTTGGTGTTCAGTTTTTCTATATCCCTGCTGATTTTCTGTCTTCTAGTTACTTCTATCAGTAAAAGAAGTGTCGAAGGTCAACAGCCATAAGTGTGGATTTGCCCATTTTTCCTTCCAGTTCTTTTAGTTTTGTTTCATGTACTCTAGGCTATTTTATTAGAGCAATTCCCCCCTTCCACGATCCCGCTCCTCCACGGTCCCCTCCATGGTCTTTTGGCTGGAGAGTTAGGGCTTTAATCTCTCCACTTTGGCTCTCACTTTCTATAACTGTGTTTACCCTCAGGGCCAAGTGGTGGGGTTTAGAGAAAAGGCAATGCGGATCCTTTCCATACTCTTTTTTTTTTAAAGATTTTATTTATTTGAGGGAGAGAGAGAGTGAGAGAGAGCATGAGAGGGGAGAAGTCAGAGGGAGAATCAGACTCCCCATGGAGCTGGGAGCCTGATGCGGGACTCGATTCCGGGATGCCGGGATCATGACCTGGGCCGAAGGCAGTCACTTTTTTTTTTTTTTTTGACAGAGAGAGACACAGCAAGAGAGGGAGCAGAAGCAGGGGGAGTGGGAGAGGGAGAGGCAGGCTTCCCACTGGGCACAGAGCCCGATGTGGAGCTCGATCCCAGGACCCTGAGATCAGGACCGGAACTGAAGGCAGACGCTTAACCGACTGAGCCACCCAGGCGCCCTCCTGGGCACTTGCTAAACTATTCTCCTTGCTAAAGAAAAAGATTTCTCTTCCTCAGAGTGCGAGGTGTCTGCTTCTAACAAAGCTTGTGGCTTTGACTCTGGGGCTGACTTTGGGGCAGGAGTGCATTTAAAAAAAAAAAAAACATGGGCCAGTTGCGCAATGGATAAAAAAAAAAAAACCCAAATAGGACTTCTCCCATTCTCTCTGTCCCACAGTACCCTCCTTCAAGCTTCCTGCCATTTTGGTGTCCCTGCTGACTCAGTACTTGTTTTCTCAAGCTCTTTGTTTTTTTCTTAGCTATCCAATTTATTCTGGTGGTTTCAGCTGGCACTGAAATGTGATTGCCTCCCAAGCCTTGGCCTGTCCTGGCCTTCTCTTCTGAGCTTCAGAATCATATACCCACCTGCCAGCTGGATGTCTATCAGTATGTGTCATAAACACTCCAGCTGAGGTCCAAGATCTATTTTAATTTCCCCTTCTGCCAACCTAGTATCTCTCTTGTTTTGCTAATCTCAGTATGTGCCACCAGCCCCAACCCATCTGCTCACGCCATTTTTCTGGGAGTTAATATTCTGTGCTTTCCCTCCACTTGACAGTACTTCTGTATAATTTATAAGTATGAATATATTGTGCAAAGGTCAGAAAATATTCTGATGGTGTATGCAGTCAAATATCTTAGAGACTGATAATGTGTAGGAAAAAAGAGCCCCAAAGCCCTCCACTCTCTGGCCCCTGAGTGTCTCCACAGCCTTTATTTCATCGTAGCCTGAAGTGCTGTTTTCCGTCACACTGTTCTATGTGAGGTTCCCTAACTCACCATGTGTGTTTCATGTTTTCCTGCCTTTTCTTATGTGATTGCCCCATGTTTGTGGAGGGAAATTGTATTCTTGTTTAGGGATTCAAAGCTCTGTCTCCCCAAATGAAGCTGAATCGAGTTGAATCTGATAACACAAAGTAGAATCCCATTCCATCCCTTGTGAAAGCCCACTGCACCCTGCACACGTGTCTAGCACAGCTCCCGTGTGCTAAAAAATAAAGATTTTATTTATTTATTTGACACAGAGGGAGAGACGGTGAGAGAGGGAACACAAGCAGAGAGAGTGGGAGAGGGAGAAGCAAGCTTCCTGCTGAGCAGGGAGCCCAATGCGGGGCTTGATCCAGGACCCTGGGATCATGACCCGAGCTGAAGGCAGACGCTTAACCTACTGAGCCACCCAGGCACCTGGCAAGAATGTGTTTATATACAAGTCTCTTTATTGGAGTATGAGCTCTTTGAGAACAGGTACTCCATCTTATTCCTCCCCCCCTTTTTTATTTTTAAAAAGATTTTATTAATCTGTCAGAGAAAACATGAGCAGGGGGACAGGCAGAAGGAGAAGCAGGCTCCCCACTGAGCAGGGAGCCCGATGCGGGGCCCGACCCCAGGACCCAGAGATCATAACCTGAGCCGAAGGCAGAGGCTTAACCCACTGGGCCACCCATGCTCCCCAACTCCTAGTTAACTCTTATTATATTAGTGTTCCGTGGAATTAGTTCCCACACATCTTCTCTGTGTGTCCCATTCTGATCCTTGCAGATTGTTGTTACAGGGATCTGTGTCATTTGAGGACGTGGCTGTGGATTTTACCCGACAGGAATGGCACAGCCTGGACCCCGCTCAGAGGACCATGCACAAGGATGTCATGTTGGAGAACTACAGCAACCTGGCATCTGTGGGTGAGGATTATCTCCCATGTCACTCCTGGTCACGTGTGTGTCCTGTCTTGGTTACTGGGATGTGTGCAGCCTTTGTAGACTTGGATGATGCTCGAGTTCTAGATGCAGGGGTCACAGGTGACTGATCAGTTTGGGGCACCGGGAAGCGTGTGTGTCGTCCCTTCCCCCCAGTGAAAGGTTTAAATGGGCCCCCTTCCTTGTGCAGCTCACGAAGATGCACCTTCCTCCTCCATCAGAGGCCCTAAGCTCAGACAACTTGGCCCATGTCCTGTGCCATTTCCCATTAACAGGCCTCTGCGTGGCCAAACCAGAGATGATCTTCAAGTTGGAGCGAGGAGAAGAGCTGTGGATATTAGAGGAGGAATCCCCAGGCCCTGGTTACCCAGGTGAGTGTGCAGTAGCCAGACATATGGAAACGGGAAATAAGAGCCCAGAAATGCAGGTCAAAACACTCTGGGAGGTGTTCTCTGGTCATCTCTTTTTAGAGGCCCTTGTGCTTTGGAAACAACTGGAGGCCACGTAAGGTTTGCACACTTCAGATACGTAAATCACACATGCCAGTTATCCTGCTCACGCTCACGTGCTCCGTGCTCCTTTATTTTGATTTCTGTAGTTATCTGCCATTCTTATCTATCCCTGCCTGCCTCATCTCAGACATTCTTCGCTGTTCTGCCTCTCTTTAGTATTTGAAATTGCCTTCCTTCCCTCTGTTGCCTGGGGTGGCTTCTGTGGTCAGGCCTTCACTCATTCCTTCATTTAGTGTTCCACCAAATCTTAAATGAGTATCTGCTCTAATCTGGTCACGTTCATGGTGTGGAGGTCCAGCAGCGAATAAACTAAGAGCTCTGTTCTGAAGCTTGCAGTCTGATGAGGGAAAGGGACCAGAGACAAATACATCATGTTTGGTGGTAAAAAGAAAATCAGTGCAAGATGAGAAACTGGCTAATGATGGTTGTGTGCTTGTAGAGAATGTGCTCAGGGAAGACTCTTTGGTGAGGTTAACATGAGTCTGCCAACATCAGGGATGGGAGAGAGACAGAACCATGGAGATTTTTAATATTTTGGGTAGAGAGGAGAGTACATGTCAGGTCTGGTCTGAGTGGTAAATCCTACAAATAGCAAAGAGGCCAGTGCAACTTAACAGTGGGTGGTGAGAGGCAAAATCAAGAGAGTTAGCCAGGGGCCAAATCATGTAGAGATTTTTAGGCTCTGTTAAGCACTTTTTTATAGGCTTTATGCAGCACTTTCATTTGATACTGTGACAGGGGAAGCCGTTGTTGAGTTTTAAGTGAAAGGGTGATCTGATTTGTTTTTAAAGGATCTCTCTCACTGCTGTGTGACAACAGTTCTGTTGAGGGTAATGCCCTCGGGCATGATTATGACCTCCGGCATCAGAAGATTCAAACGTTGGACCAAGCTGTTGAATATAATGGATACGGGAAAATCTTCTACAAGAAAACAGGCTTTGTTGGTCCTAAAAAGGCACACACAGGGGTAAAAAACTTTGGATGTCACGAATGTGGGAAAGCTTACTGCCGGAAATCAAACCTTATTGAACATCTGAGAATACACACAGGGGAGAGACCTTATGAATGCACAGAATGTGCAAAGACCTTTAGTGCAAGGTCATACCTCATTGCTCATCAGAAAACTCACACAGGGGAGAAACCCTTTGAATGTAACGAATGTAGGAAATCTTTTGGCAGGAAGTCACAACTCATTCTACATCAGAGAACGCACACAGGAGAGAGACCCTATGAATGTACCGAATGTGGGAAAACCTTTTCTGAGAAGGCAACCCTCATGATTCACCAGAGAACTCACACAGGAGAGAAGCCCTACGAGTGTAGTGAATGTGGAAAGACATTTCGAGTTAAGATATCCCTTACCCAGCACCAGAGAACTCACACAGGGGAGAAACCATACGAATGTGGGGACTGTGGGAAGAACTTCCGTGCAAAGAAATCCCTAAACCAGCATCAAAGAATTCACACAGGCGAGAAACCCTATAAATGTGGTGAATGTGGGAAATTCTTCAGAATGAAAATGACTCTCAATAATCATCAGAGGACTCACACAGGTGAAAAACCCTATCAGTGCAATGAATGTGGGAAGTCTTTCAGGGTACACTCATCTCTTGGGATACATCAGCGAATTCACACAGGAGAGAAACCTTATGAGTGTAATAAATGTGGTAATGCCTTCTACGTAAAAGCACGCCTCATTGAACACCAGAGGATGCATTCAGGAGAGAAGCCCTATGAATGTAGCGAATGCGGAAAAATCTTCAGTATGAAGAAATCCCTTTGTCAACACCAGAGAACTCACACGGGAGAGAAACCCTACGAATGTAGCGAATGCGGAAATGCCTTCTACGTGAAAGTACGCCTCATTGAACATCAGCGAATTCACACAGGAGAGAGACCCTTTGAATGTCGGGAATGTGGGAAAGCCTTTTGCCGGAAAGCACACCTCACAGAACATCAGAGAATCCACGTAGGCCGGCCCTTGCCTTGTACAATGGAGAAAGCTTCTTCGTGAAGACTCCCATCACCATTTGATCAAGCCCTCTGGGTCATCTGGTCACCCTGCACCCAGAGTACACCTGTAACAGTTTGGCTCCTACACTGGTGTGAAAATACATCCCAGTTCCTGTTAGGGGATAGCTCATTGTCATTTTCATTTCATTTGGATTTCCCTAATGAATGGTATGGTGGCATAGCTTCTTGTCTGTTGACTGGCCATTTCGGTTTTTTTCTTCTGTGCACTGACAGTGCTCTATCCTTTGCTCATTGTTTTTAATGGGCCGCTTCTCTTTTACTTCTTGGCTTAAGTGTCTCTTGGCTTTGTTTTTTACTATATGAGAATATAAAAATCTTTTTTCAGTTATGTGTGTTACAGATATGTCCTCACGGACTGTGCCTGGTTGTTTAATTTTGTTAAGTCTTCTGCTGAGGTTTTATGTTGGAATATGGATCAGATTCAGGGTGGTAATATTCTCCTATTCTTTCTTCTAAAGTTAAGGTTTTCCTTTCAACATTGAGAATTTGTCATCTACCCTGAGAATTTTTGTGTGTATAGTGTGAACTGTACAATATATAATACCCTATTGCTTTTAAAAACTTTACATGAATGGTATCACACGGTGTTGAAAGTTCTGCAGCTTGCTCCTTTCATGAAACGTTACCTTCCCAGGGTCTGTCCACGCGGATAAATATAGGACTGGTCCATTCATTTCTCTCTCCATTCTCTTGGTGCAAGACATTTGTATCGTGTCTGTGTTTGGTGTCTAAATCTAAAAGTGGAACTGATGGGTCATAGAGTGTAGGCATTGTTTAAGTGATTCAGCTCTTGTGTCCTAGCTCTAACATCCCCATTCTACACTGTGCTTTGTGGTACTTGGGCTATGATCTACAAAACATGTTTCTGTCTTGCCATCTTCTTACTGTTGGGTCTTGCCAATAAGAGATACTAAATATAAACTTTGAGGGTGAGGAAGGAAGAAGGGACCTGCTCCTTGTTTCCCCTTCCTGTTAGCTCCCTCTTCATCTGAGTGTCAGCCCAGTGTTACTTCTTCCCTTGGCCAGCAGCAGTTCCTCCCGGTGGCGGTAGTTTAATCCAGGCTGTAGATTTCCAGCACCCATGGAACCCCTTACGGTACGCCTCCCACCCCCTCAGAGACACTGGCAGCCGCTGGCCGGTGCCACCTCCCTAGAGGTGTGAGTCCCACCCACATGACACTACTCCTTCAACTTTTCAATTCCAGTTTCTTCCCTTGTTACCTTAGCCCAGCTGCTTCCTGTAGTTGCTATCTCCACGATAATTTTAATGTTCCCTGTCTTTTCAGTTACATGGTTAGTAACTCTGTGACTAGCTAAAAAGTCTTTATAATAAGTTCTTTTCATTAAAAAATAACTGGTGTTGTTTCTGTCCCCTAGCTGGGTTCTTCAGATTGATACAGAAGTTTTTCAACTTTGTTAAATAATTGTATTTTTTCCCCCTCTAGGTTGTACTAACTTACATTCTCATGAGCAGTTTGAGATGAAGTTTACATTTTTCCATGTATTCACCAGGACTTATTAGCAGTCTTTCAAATTGTGGCCAGTCTGAAAGGTGTAAAATGGCTTGAAGTTGTTGTATCCATGAATACGGTTTGTCTTTTTATTTTTTAAGTCGCCTTTTTGACCTTTGATAGTATTTTATGGTTTTCCCCCAAGAAATTATCTTTTAAAGCTAATTTTTAATAGAAACTTTGCTCATATATCTGTATGTACATATATATTTTAAAATGTAATAATGTATTATGGGGTTTATATAAATATTTATATGTAATATATGTGTATATATTATATATATAGATACACACACACATACATATACACACATACACAGATACAGTCATGTATCCCCACAAAACATTTTTGTTTTATATGTTCATTTCATTTTACCCACTTGTTTGCCATCTTGGTTGCTCTTCATTCCTTTCTGCATTCCATCCGGGATCATTTTCTTCTTTGCCTGAAAAATACCCTTTAGTGGAGGTTTGTTAGTGTATACCCAAACCCCTCAACTTGGAAAATGTGTTCTTTTTTTTGGTAAAGCTTATCTTTTTCTTTTTTAAGTAAGCTCTAGGCCCACCATGGGACTCCAGCTCATGATCCCAAGGTCAAGAGTCTTATGCTCTACCAACTGAACCAGCCAGGCACCCTGAGAATGTTTTCTAATGCACCATTTTGATCCACAAAAGTTAATCCTTTCCCATTAGTATTTTGTAGCACTATGCTATAGTAAATTGATGCTAAATTAAGTACCTGTTTTTGTTTTGTTTCCTGGATGTTTCATAATAAATATGAAGACCCAGGATATTTGGATTAATCATCAGATGCCTCCAAATACAGCATACACATGAATGTGTATATTATACTTTATGCATTTAAAAAAAAATTTTTTTTTATTTGACAGAGAGATCACAAGTAGGCAGAGAGGCAGGCAGAGAGAGAGGAAAGCAGGCTCCCCACTGAGCAGAGAGCCTGCTGTGGGGCTCGATCCCAGGACCCTGAGCCGAAGGCAGAGGCTTAACCCACTGAGCCACCCAGGTGCCCCCTTTATGCATTTTTTAAACAGCATTCCCTAACCCTCATTTACTGAGTATTAATTACATTTATCAAGATGTTATCTTATTTATTCTTTTAATCTTCAGCTCAATCATTTAAAAAACTTCAATTTTATGTTTTAAAATTCTTATTCTTATTCTTATTATGGAAAATGTCAAACATAAATAAAAGTAATCTATAGTGACAGAAAGCAGATCAGTGGTTGCCTGTGGGATGGGGATTAAATCCTAAGGGGTAGGAGGGACCTTCCTGGGGGGTGAAAGAACTATTCTGTATCTTGATTGGAATGCATATTAAATTATTAAATGAGTAAATTTAAGATTTGTGCCCTTTATTGATATAAATTATATCTCAATTAAAATTTAAAAGCAATAATACAAATGTTATGGGTTCCCACACCAGGAGCCATATGTGGGCTTCCAGGGAGAAAACTAGGAATCTTGACCACTAGATCAGGTAAAAGTACACTGGCAATGGGAGACTTAGTCCTCCGAAGGCTTTCGAAATGGCCTTGCTTCATGAAGATGGCCTTCACTGAGGCCCCGTGATGGTTTGTGCTTACCCTTGGTTAGCACCCTCCCTGCCAACACTACTGTGTGTATTTGACTCCTAATGGCTTAAGCACAATCCCTCTTGATCCTCCATTAGCCACCGCCACAGTAGGTTTTACCCTAGGATATGTCAGCCCCATTAACCTACAGCACTTCTTTTCACTTCTCTGGGCCTAGAGCACAGTGTCTGTACAATGACCTATAACATCAGCTCACGATATCTTGTCTTATCACAACTTTTTGATCCAGCAAAGTCTGCTGACTCCCCGTTAGCTCGGAGCATCATGTCTCACCACCCCTTTTCGCTGCCATTACGATTTTTGCTGACCCATTTGCTCACAGCAGAGTGTCTTTTCACCCCTTTAGCCTCCAGTTTTGTGACTGATGATCTTCCATTAACTCAGTATCATGGGTTTTTTTTGCTTTCCTTTAGATTCAGCACGGTGACTGCTGACCTCCCATTAACTCACAGTACTGTGTCTAGTCGCCTTCTGTTAGACTGAATGTAATGTCTGTTGACCCATATCGGCAGTGTCTACTGCTCCCCACTTGGCTACCATATGATATAGTCAACCCAATGTGTTCAAACCACATTGGATGCGCTCATTATGGTGATGTTTATCAGTCACCTGTAGTCAGTGTCTGACCCCACCATGTACCCACAGCACAGCACAATTGCACCAGTTTCCGTCCGCTGTTCCCCAGTTATCCACCAATGTGGTGACCTTGATCCTTCTGAGCCCCAAGACAGTATCTGCAGAACTCAGATGACCTTGTCACTCTGTCTTCTGATCCCCTGTTTACCAAGCTTCAAGATTTTTAACCTTGAGACCCAGTGGTGTCTGCTTAAAAGAGTCCCCATCACTGTGTCTTCCAACCTTCCACTACAGCCTGTCATTGTATCTGCTGACCATACACCGATGCCTTTTGATTGACTGATTTTTAAAGATGTATTGATTTATTAGTTAGAGAGAGGGGGAGAGAGCGTAAGCACAGTGCAGAGGGGCAGAGGGAGAGGGACAGAGAATCTTAAGCAGACTCCAGGCTGAGTGTGGAGCCCAACGCTCCATCTCATGACCCTGAGATCATGACCTGAGCCAAAACCAAGTTGAAGCTTAACCACCTGTGCTACCCAGGTACCCCAAAGTGTCTTTTCATTTATTAGCCACTAGCAGAGTATGAACTCCTTGAGGATGCATCACGTTTTTTTTTTCTCTTCAGTTGAATCATTATGTCAGCTAAATCTCCTCCCTTTAACCACGAGTTGTGTCTCTGACCAGTTGAAGCCTCAGTCAAGTCTGCTGACCCCTCATTAGCCCCCCTCATGGTATCTGTTGGTTCTCCATTAGCCAACAGTAGTTTCTTTGACACCCATGAGGCCCCAGCAGTGTATCTGCAGATCCTACTCCGCTACCTTCCTTCTGTCTGCTGATCCCCAATTAACCACAAGAGCTGAGGCTAACTTTCATGAGCTTCCAGGACGGTATCTGCTGATTCCCCATTAGCCCCAACTTGCTGATCACCTTTTAGCCGTCAGTACAGTGTCTTTGACCCTCTTAAGTTACAATCATGAGCCACTAGTACAGTGTCAGAATGCAACAGTGCCCCGGCTGAGTGCGTGTCGACCATACATTTGAGTTCATCACTGCGTATGCTAACATTAGAGTAGCCTCAGCCCTGTGACTGTTCATTAGTTTAATCTTTGCCTCATGCTTCTCAGTCTTGGCATCTGCTGCTGACCCTGAACTAGTGTCATCACTATCCACTTATATTGGTCACAAATAGTGTTTTTGATCATAAAAAAATCAGCTCTTAGCCCTTAGTCACTCTGCTGATTAGCCATGGAGCACCACTAAAGTGATAATGTCTCCATCTC